CAATCATGCCACCGACATCATCAATTTGTGGCAGCAAAGTGGTGGCAATCTTACCACGCAATGAAATTGATGGTTAGTTTTTTTGGCGCGTGGAATTGGGGTTTGTTTTGCAGTTTGTTACTGTGCTTAGGCTGTAGCTTGCTTGCATCCTTTTGTATCTTTCTGGTATAATTGAAAGTAGAATTATGTCCATGGTCGTGTAATCATATTGTTTTAACTCTGCGAAGGTTTAATGATACTTGAATTCTCAATCTGTAATCCCACACTTGAGAATTTTGGAACTTGGTTGTGGTATTTTCCCAGTTCAAGTTGAAGTTGAGATAGTGTTGGATTGAAACCAAATGATCATGCAATGATGTTAGAATGTTAATAGGTGTACGTTTTCTGCCTCAGTTCACGTGGGCTGCAATACTAGAACTTAGAAGATTCAGTGATGCCCGCTGCTAGTTGTTTTGGAGAGATTGTCTGATAGTGTTACCAGGAAACTTTCTTCTCTGTGTACGCACAAAGTTTGCATCGGTGGAAGATTGTTGACTCTAATTCAGCTGGTGACTTGTACTTGTCATGTGGCAAAACATAATTGTTTGCCATAGTTGATGTTTCATCTTAAGAGATAAATGAATTTGCCGGCGATTTGTTTTGCCCTTGGTGAACGCTACATCAATGTCTTCTACTGTCAAAATGAATAACAGGAGAAATTATAAAATGGGGGCGGCGGGTGGGTGGTGTGGTGGTTAGAGAAAGGATGGATGAGTAACCATCCTTCTAGTTGTTTAGTTAACAAGAAGGGAGAAAGATGTGAGTTGATCCGTCCAAATTAAGAAGTTTGAAAATTTCAAAGGAGGGGAAAGATGGGAGACAATCAGCCCAACTCAGAAAGATTGAAAAGTACAAGTGAAGAAGGATTGGAAGGACCTGTCAAACAAAAAGCACCAAATCCTTCACTTCTCATATACTCTCCTCATCCATCCCCGAATCCCTCATAAAAACACACGAAAGAATGGTACCTAATTTGAAGGGAAGTAGTGCTTGAGAAGAAAGCCTGCTGAAAAATCGTATTCGAGAACTGCTCTGAATTTGCGACGAAATCCTGCCTCAGACTGAACAGTTACTTTAGTGCACGATTGTGTCAGCGGGCCTCGTTTTCATCTGCTCTGCAACATCTGGTATTTAGCAGAATAGTGCATGTCCAATCTAATTCCAAAGATTTCTCAGCATCATATTAACAAATTCCTTTGTGCAATGCAAAAACACTAAGGGAATCCATGACATGAAATAAAAAACCGGGCTAATTTCTGTGAAATTGTGCTCTACACCAAAAATGTCATTTTCAGCAATAAAACATCCTAAAAGATGATAAGGAAAAAGACCATTTAGCCAAAGTTCGTGAGAAACTTGAAAGCATAATACTGATTATTGGGCAAAAAAGAAAGGAAAAGGAAAGGGGTGCACGTACAAAGCTTCTGCTCAAACAATATAACAAAGGATCTTTCAAATACCGTTTCTGGATTGATCATCTCAAGAATAGAAGCAGCAAGATATAAGCAACGCATCTCCGACTCATTATTGAGCTTCACTGTCATCAACCACAAGGATTCACTAGTACATTTTCTTTATAATACTACAAATACGAATACGAAGATTCCTTTCATGTACATATTTAAACTGGTTTGAAACCTCCAAAGTTGACCCCGACTCAAATCTAGTAGAAAACTACATGGTAGCAAAAGCTACTCGTCAAGATTCAAACAGAGAAGATAGGCCACCAAGCCAACCACGGGAACAAACCTAAAATAATTGACCACGCGAACTTTGCTTTTCTGAACATTTTGCAAATTTTCACCTATCAGCCAGGGCTGGAAAATTATGTAGAGACATATATCCCAAATGAAAGCATAAGCAAGCCTCTCTGATTCTAAATAACTAACCAAGAACTCACATCTGTCTGTTATGCTCCCAAAATTACCATCAATTCGACCAAAAAGAGCCCATAATACTGATATCAGGCATGCAGCTCCACCAATCAGTCCGACTACTGGTGCGCCAGTTGTCATGATAGTGCCTAGTTGAGAGCGCTTGCTTGGTGTATAGTCGGAATCAGCCTCATTCAGCCGGATTGCCATGTAAGGTATCAAGAATGCTGATAATACACATGAACAAATGATGCTTTAGTTAAAACAAAACGTAACTAGACTCTACCAATATTTCCTTGATACAGCAAAAACATGAAGAAAAGGAAAAGGGAATAAGCGATGGTAAGAGGAGCTTGTCCTTTGTGAATTTGAGGAAAATTGCCCATTTTATGACCAATGCAAACAAAAGAAAATCACCGGTAGCTATTAAAAGCCAGCTAGCCAGATCAAGTAATCATCCGAAAAGATCTTCCAATCTTGCACCCCGGCTTTAAAGGGAATGGTCAAAGCTAATCTATCTACTCATCAATCACAAGAGTGTAAAGGAAGCATACTGTTGGTGAGGAACATCTGGAAGCCCCACAAAACATCCAGTGACCATCGGTATCTATCCCTCTTGCAATCAGTGAACAGCAAAGGAGCAAACATGAAAGTCCACCCAATAACAAAGTTGAATAATCCTTCAGACATCTGGTAAAGGAAATAAAAATCACCAGCACCAACGTTAGACCGTAAGAACGGTACAAAACCAAGTGCCGACCAAATCAACATCACCTTATGATCATTCTTACCGGGTGAAGAACTGGGGCATCAATAAGACGTATGCCGACTACTCTGCCAGAAAATGCATTGCCATCAAGATTAAAATATAATCGACAATTAGTAACTCATTTTATCTAACAATCAGAAGCGAATTCCGAAAAGACAAACCAGAATTGATGAAAGGCAAGATGAAGAAGAAATTGAGAGAAAGTCCAATGAGAGAATTAACAGTCTCTGAACTGATAGCCCACACTGGATCTCCCTGTGTCGATCAAAAACACATATGCAATTCAAATTCACAAATTGCATTTTATTTACGACACGATACACTATTTTAAACAAAGAATAAGAGGAGTTGTTTACTTACAGGGGCATAAGGGAGTAGAAAGAGCCACAAAATGTAAACTCCTTCAACAACCCACAGAATAATCTGAACCACTTTCCGTGCATTATCATCGCCCTCTTCGGCAGAGGAGATGGTGTTGGTGTTTGGCACGGTGGGTGGTTTGCGGCGGGTCGCGTGACATAGGAAATTGGAATTTCGGGACAGGAAAAGTGGTGTTGCTGGAGAGCATTGGGTTCTGGAATTAAAAGCTCTGATATGTTGCAATTTATGATGGGGAGAGATTGAAGGTGGTCCTTTTGAATTGAACTGTGTTTTGGTAGCTGCCGTGACCAAAGAGCAGTAGTAGTTGCTGCAGAGGAGAGCTTGAGTTGCCACCATTGTTTGCGATAACTTTTAGCTAACTCTGAGTCAGCTACTGCTAACTGCTCGGCTAACGGGTGAAGGGGTCATTGGCTGGCTCAGTTTTGAACACGAGGAAGAGGGTGAATTATTCTCTAGTCCCTGTGTTATGAGCGTTTTACAACTTAATCCTTCATAATTGAAAACCCGTTCTCTAAATGCAGCTTTTCGGTTTTTCATCTAATATATATCGCTGCAGGGTATAATTGAGACATACAAGCACATAAATATATGTTTAGATAGGATTGTTATCTGTCTTCACCCGTGTAATTATTCAATTATACTCGTCATATTACCTTGATATATGTTAAAATTTTAAAATTGATTATCATAGTTTTGTCGTCCCTCCTTCACTCAACAATGGTTTTCCATTTTTGCCCCAACCATAGTTTAATATTTTGAAAAAGGGTCTGAATTTTTTATATATATTATCAGGGATTTTTCACCACCACTCACACTAATTGAGGACAAAATTCAAGGTGACAAATCATCATTTTTTCTCTTATTGAATATTTATTTTGGATTGCATGAGAAGTTTGAATTTATATTTCATTTAATAGTTACTTGAAAACTCCTGAAAAACTAATTACCTGGATTTTTTTTTCCAAGAAGACATTTCTAGTACTTGGAATTTATTTTTAAAAAAATCACAGTTTTAAAACAACTTTTTTTTTGCTATGATTTTAATGCTACTTCTGGAATTTAGTTTTCATTGATACAGGAGCTAGATTCTTGCGTCATGACTTGTTTTATATGTTGCTTTCTCAAATTATATTTTAAAGAGTTTGAACTTAAAAAAAATAAATCTATGTCTTTAAACCATGCTTACGAGGAGTAAAATCTTATCAATGCTGCAGGGGTTTTTAAAGAAACTGGAGTTATCTATAATGTTTATATTAATTAATCCGATTTAATTGATGAAATTAGTTAATATAAATACTATAAATAATAACAAGTTAAAAACCAAATAAATAAATATGACAAGTCGGATGCAAGTTGGAATTTTTAAAAACCTTTCAATTTAATTCAAAATGCATAACTCATTTAGTTAATGAACAATTCTAATACTTAGTATATTTTTTTTATCTTTATTTTCATGTGCGTGCGCATCATTTTTTATTTTTTATTTTACATTTCAATATATCATTTTTTTTAATGTATAGCGCTAACTATATGTTTGAAATAATAAAATACATTGCAATATCAATTATAATTAAAAACAAACAATTATATGCTTTTGAAATTGTATTTATTTTAAAATTGTTAATGAATAAAAAAAATTATATTCTTAACCTGTAAATATTTATAATAAAAAATTAACTCAATCTGATATATCCAACCTACTTAAGTCTATTTTTTTTTTAATAAATCAATCTACAATTTATAAAATATTTAAAATTTGATTAGATATAATTATGGGTAATAACCCAACCCCCACCCATGAACACCCTTAGAATTTAGATAGCTTATCTTTAACCATATTAAAGATGTGAACTTTTAAAGTGTTAAAACTTGCATAAAAATATTCACGATGATAAACCAAAATAAATAGCTTATCTATAAATTTGAATTTTCGGTAGGGTAGCAAAATAGGCCATTGAATTCTCAAAATGTGGCTGACTTGTTGCAAAAGTTCAACCTAAAAAAGGCAGCAATACAGAAAGCACTGGGTAATCTTTCGGATAATGGGAAGATGTCGTTTAAGGAGTATGGTGAGCAGAAGATACATCTTGCCCGGAAAGACCATTTTAACATTCCCAACAGCCAAGAGCTTAATCAGATGAAGGAAGAAAATGCTAAATTGCAGCAACAACTGGATGAACAGAAGAGAGCTATTAGTGAGGTTGAGGGCGGTCTGTTCTATACGCGGCCCTTATGTGTTCCAAAGAAGTGAATACTGCGTTAGAACAACTACTTAAGATGTCTCAATTGTTTAATATGGCGTGAGAAATACTTATTGATGTACACAAAGCTTGACGCGGATTTCAGCTTTGTGAATTTCAGGAGAAGTATTGCTAACAAAAATATGATTGGAGCTGGGTTGATGTACACAATTGCAGAAATTAGAACCTTGGAGTTGAATCTGACACTGGAACAGATACGTCATAAAGAAGCCACTCTGAGGAAGGGGGTAAATTACGCGTGGGTTTTTGAAGTGCTTCTTTAGTGGAGTCTTTTGAAGTTGTTTCTGTGAAGAAGAATGGATGGAGCTCAGGACTTTTGATTTCCGTATCAGGTTAGGAAATGGAAGACAAATTGGTAAAATTGCGCGAAGGAGTTAGGTCAGGACAGAAGAGCGGAAGGCAATTGAGGGAATGTGTTCAGAGAAATTAAGTCAGTGGAGAACAAGGATGTTCAAGGATGTGTGGGGTGTCATAACTGAGAACTCACCCCAGGATCTAAAAGAATTTAAGGTCATCCTTATATCTATCCTGTTTTGCCAGCACACGCAATCTGTCTTCGCAGGAGTTGGGTTTAATAAATATATTCACGTTTTTGCAGGAGGATCTTGGACTTTAATATGATGAAGATGTCGGTGTGAGCTTGCAGTCATTTAGTGGCCTGCTGCAACATTGCAAGAAGCGAGCCAGAGGCCAGAAACTTTATAGATTCCTCTGTTTTTTAACAAAATTCAGTAAAGATACAAGGCACTCACAACCAAAACAACAAAATAAGTTCACAAAATTTTGGAAAAAGAATGAACAGATATAACCTATAATTAACAGAGCTCACCAAAACATAATAAACTCAATATGCTCATGCTTCTCAGAATCCTCGCACTCGTCTGGTCCTGACAGAAATCGGTCCCTTCTCTATGTTTAGGCGCTGTGAACTTTGAATATCAGGTCCTTCTGTAGCACGTGCTGTGGAATATCCATGTCTTGAATCCACCTTCAGATCACCTTGAATGATTTTAGAAATTTTCTTATTAGAATCTTCTGTTGTAGGGATCTCTCCTTCAAGCTCGCTGTTGAAATGCAATTCGTGACTTTCATTGTCGCTCTCATCGAAAACTATATCCTTCTCTAACTGCTTGGTCGGGTCCTCTGCATCCAAGGACGTTGCACTCACCTTCAAAATCTCTTCTGATTCCAGACTTGAAGTAGACACCAATCTCTTGAGTTCTGTTACAGGAGCCTTCTCTTTCACAACTTCATTTTTTTGGTGGATCTCTTGAGTTTTAAATTGAGATTCAATTTGTATGGGCTCGCCTTTCTGAGACCTGTTTCTTCCTCCATTGTGACTGTTCTGATTATCAGGTTCATCAGGACCAGATCGAGAGAGTTCCACAGCTGCTCTTGCTGCTTCTGCTGCATTGGCAGCTGACTCAAAAGCTGCCTGAGCTGCATCCGCTACATCCCTGTACTTTTTTCTTGCATGCGCTGAATCAGATAGCCCATATTTTTCTATCTCTTCAGGCGACATTTGCAAATCGTCAATCAGCTTAGGGCCACAAGAACTAGTTAATGTCTCTGTTTGGGCTTGTTTTTGCTTGTTGACATTCAAATTTTCCTGCATTGTTCATATGTTTAGTCTTGACTTTATATATAGCACTATAGTTGTACTTCATTTCCTTATTGAAACCTGCATACCTCAGTGGTACTGGAAGAACTCTCTCCGAGTTGCAGAATTATGCCGTTTTCTGAAGCAATTTCCTCGAGCACCTTCATTCTGCCCTCCAAGTCTGGCTGCCGGGTTGACAGCTTTTGTATCATCTACAGAAACCAAGACGGCACATTATAAATTGCATATATAGTAAACTATAGATAAATGAGAGCTGCCATCACAATAATTCTGAATATTTCTCTCGATTTATACAAAATATGCATGTTACTAGATTATTAGACATTTTATACAGCCAGGCAAACAAAATAATTGAAAGAGCTGTTTTAGATGCTTATCTACACAGCATGAGAAAACAGCTCCTCTTCACTGCTGCCGCCTTTGCCCCTCTCTACAACGTTCATCAAACCCAATAGCAGCAAGTTCTGCCAATAAATTAAATTGTCCAGTCCTCTTTATTTCTTTATTTCTTTTTTTTTTGGGTTTTAAGAAATGGGTGTGCTACTAGACTAATAATCACACAACCTTTGAAGGGATCCCCGTTGTATCTATGTAGTGGTTGAAGCTTAGAGTATCTTTAAAGGGGCTAATCGGATGTAGAAATGCCACCTTTCTAAGAAGTCATGACGGGACTCTAATACGAGACTTACGTTGAATGAGTCTTCTCCTTCTCACTTGAACCGACCCCTTGGCAACACAGTCCATTCCTCGTAACCATCATTTACCAGACCTCAAAGCAACTAAAAAAACTTTACTCTCCAAACTTATGCTTTATTACCATCATCAAGCACCACATCAAAACAATTGTATCACCAAAATCTCACAAGAAACAACACCTTCGTTCTACTTTACAACACCATCATTGCATGACAATGATTGCCTAAAAGGGTGTCTTGACAGAAAGTAGAGGTTTTTGGGGAAAAGATCGATCAAATCACTCTTACAAAATTAATATGCTGTGCTGATTTTAATGGAAAAGATCGAGCAAATGTCTTGTTTTACAAAATAAATGCGTTGTGCTGAAATTAACCAAGTGGGTAAATTCTTTCCCTGCTTAGTTTGGCAAATTCTTCGAATCAAAACATACCTTTGGGTTCACTCTACAATTGTTACGCAATTCAATAGCACTAGCAACAAATTCCTTGCCATAACGGGAGGTGAAAGCAGTACGAATTTCTTGAAGCTCGGGGAAATCCCCACACCTCGAAGAAGCATAAAGCAAGCTTGATATGGCCTCCTTCAATTCATCAGGACACACTCTGTAATAAAAAAATAATCCCATCAACAGAATGAAAAAACTGAAAATTACTGATGAAAGGATAGGGATGTGGAAACTTTAAACCTATCACCGAGTGAAAGCAGAAAGCAACCTTTCTTGTTCAATGAGCTGGAGTCTTTCTATCATTAAATTGCAGTATCCTTCCATCATCACATATACATCCAACATATTCTGATCCTTGATCAAATACTCAACCTGTTAAGAAATAAAAATAAAAGAGACTAGTAAACAAAAGTTCATGAAGAAAATATAGAAAGAGGTAAATGGAGGCATGGTGTACATTCGTCAAAAATCTTACTCGATGAAGAGCACGATCATGATGCCCTTTTTCAAGAAGCTGAACCACATCAGAGCGGGCTTGGTTGCACCTGACCTGGCGTTGGTTCTTGAATATAGCAATGCGAGAGATGGCAAGACTGGCCGCTGCTTTCAACTTATAGGCTTTAAAGGTCCTTCCCAGAATAGCATCAAGCTTTTTCCCCATGTATGCCCGCTCTTTACTGTTTGATTACTAAGCTTTTGAATGAGCTCTTAAGAGCCAAGAAACACACACTCTCAAAGGAGTTGATGATAGTACTTCGCAGGGGCGCGGGGACAGGCACAAGCGAACAAACAAGCAGATGCTTGTTTGCTCCTTTATGTGATGACGAGAGAGAGAGAGAGCATTGCTTTTTGAAGACCTTGGAGTTAAAAAATAAAAACGCGTTTTTTAGTTTTCTTACCAACCAAGTTTAGAGAAGGCTGAAGAAAATGGAAATTGAAGGTTTAGATTTACGCGGTTGGTTTGTCCATTTCGAGGAAATGAGAAAGGTTTTGGTTTCCTTGTGGAACATTCTTTTACGAGACAACTCTTCGGTTGTGTTAACTGTACGTGTGGAATCATTTGTGGGGCCAGTCTGGCTACAGGTAAGGTGTAACAGTCTCACCATCGTTTTCACAATTTTTTTTAAATATTATAAATTAATTTTTTAATGTTTTTAATTTTTTAGTGTATTAATATTAAAAATGAATTTTAAATAATAAAAATATATTATTATAATATATTTTTAAATAAAAAATACTTTAAAAAAATCTTTATCCCTGTTTCAAGAAACACACTTTAAATAAAAAATAATTGTTATTCTTTTAGTCCTACCTGCTGGTATCAATTAAATTATTTTATAAAAAATTTCGAGAGTAACACGTCTTATGCACTTCACACAATCACTTAACTGTAACACTCCTTATAGTTTTATAAACTAGATAAACAAAGTTACGCTTGAAAATAAGTTTGCAAGGAAACCTTAAGGTATCTCGAATAAAGTATGAAGTAAATTCTCCTGTTTTATTATTTTTATAATTTATTTTTTATTTAAATTATTTATTTTCTACTTAGCTTAAAATTTTTAATTTGATTAGAATTTTATTATTTAAAAACTCTAATACTATATATAGATTTAGGTAAATTTGAATTAGAAGTCATTTTTATAAAGGGTTCTAGGAATAATATAAATGTAAATATAAATGTCTGGTTTATTTTATGAAAATCAAAATTATTATTCAAATATACTAGATAATTTTCTTTAGATTTCTTTATTTTTTAGCCTATAAACTTAGAGTTTTAAAATTTTAATTTTATTTTCGCTGCATAAATCACACTACTGAAATGTATGTGATGAGGTCTTCAGTCAGGCTTATATTTGACGAGGAGAAACATAAAGCCATTTAAGTAGCAAGTTACACTAATCTCGTAATATAATTAAGTTTTTTAAACTCAAATACATGCTTGATCTAAATTACATTCTGATAGTCCAGATATTGCTAACAACTTCAAACGCACGGTTTTGTTTTAAAATAAATTAAGTTTGAAACCCAACGTATCGAATTTCAAGACATTAAAAAAAAAAAATAACGACGATATGAAGGACAAATTGAATCAGACACCATAAGATTTTCTTATCGAAGCATTCTTCTCATTCCATACTATATGATGTGGATGCATTTTTCTGTAAATAGTCCCCTTAACCTCAATTTGTTAAATGAGAAACTAGTCGTGTTTTTGAGAGATAAAATTAGATTATTCACCTATATTATATATTATGTCATGTAGATAAAGTTAAATTTTTCTTGAATATAAAAAAACATTTAAATGTTGCTAATAATTTTTTTTCTAATAAAAAAAATATGTAAGCTAACCCATATAATTGATTTTACAGATCTAAAAGCAACTTTAATAACCAATATAAACATAATTTTACTCGAAAAATTTTTAAAATAATATATTTTTAATATTAATGACTCGAAATTTTTTTAAAATAATATATTTTTAATATTAAAATGATAACATGGTAGATTGATTTATATCAACTAGATTAACATGTTAAGTTTACGATTCAAGTTATAAGATGGTTAATTTTATAAAAAATAAATTAAAATAAATTATTAAATTTTATTCTCAATTAATCTAATATTAAAAAATAAAATTAAAATAAAACATAAAAGATATATAAATTAAGTTGTCAAACTTACAAACTACATCATAAAATCAAGATAACTCAATAAAAAATAAATCAAAATAAATTATAAAATCTAAACACCTAAAAATTTCTTTTTAATGTTAAAAAATTTTCTTAGGTGCAATTCATTTTACCCACGCCCAACTTTATTTCATCCTCATTAATAAAGATCAGCCTTCAAGAATCAAACTCCTAAACACTTCATCACAAGAATTGTATATTATTTTAAAAGTCTCTAGATTTATACTATATTTCTCAACCGTCTAGTGCCAATTCCACAAAGATCACGACGTTATTCAACCTGTTTCAGAGCCACAATTGATTGTTTAGCTTGCTTTGTTTTTGATACACCCCTTTTTTTGTCACAAAGACGTTGAAGATTGATCTGCAATCGAGATAGAACCTGCTCTCTCGCTCCATGTAAATGAGCGCTCGCCTTGTAATGGGCTATAGTATACCACGTACTTTTTTTTTTTTTTTACCTGAGAAGTACGGGAAATTTTTTTAATCAAGTACACATTATGTGCAATACCACGTCCCAGCCACATGAATAAAAGTCATTGCTTTCCTCGACATGCATTCGAGGGAATGAATCCCCTTAATAATACATGTCAACACAGATCAAAAACCAAAATATTGACAAGCGAAAACCCGAGGGCATACTCCACGTGGCATAAATCGCAAATGCAAGGGCATATTCCAGATGGCGTAAATAGCAAATGCAAGGGCATGATCGAGGTCATGTATTACGAAGACTTCAGCAGCAAAACCACTTCTGCAAGAAACTTATTTCCACAGTTCCCTCCAACCACTAATAGTCTGTGGAGTACTTTCCTTGCAGTGGTAGAAAAACTATCAGAATCAAACAATCTTTATCTAATGTTGCATTATTATTATTATCAGAAAAGCAATGTAGCACTTTTCTTGTACATTGTCTCTTGATTCTACTCATTCATACCACAGGATGGAATAGCATATAGATTTAACTTCGTAAAAGAGGAGGTGAGTGACATCAGAATACATAATCAATGAACTAGGATCCATTTTTTTATAGTTATGGCTGATATGATTTTTGAAAAATGTTTGATAATAGGTTTTATGTAACCCAAAACATTAGCTAAACAAATTGAAAGAAATCATTTCATGTTATCATACTCAGGAACAAACAAGGAGCTAACAATATTCATTTTGCAGGAAACAAAAGCCTATATTTTTTTTTCTTCTGTGAACACAAGGATGAAGAAACCGTTCTAGGAATTGCGTTCAATTCATAGCCTCAGCTGTCATTTTGGCGATAGATGGCGAGGCTTAAAAGAAACCGTTTAAGGGATTTTGATGTGGAACATAAAACGATGCGCTTAATATACTGAAAAACGTGATATACGTGACAGAAGTATAATTGATGCGGGGCTACCATCACATAAAATTGCATGACATGGGTTCAAAACAATTAGATTATACATTCCAACATATTAATATCAAAGGCATCATAGAGAACACGGATCCACAAGCCTCTGGCCTAGACCATCCTCTATGGATGAGGCAAAACTCCTCTCCACCCGCCCCATCTCCACACCAAAACGAATGGGAGAAAAGGGGTGAACATCCACTAGGTCTTGGATGACACTAGTCGGTTGACCCGCATCCGCGGCATGTCAAATAAATGTATAGGTGTTTAAATATTTTTAGCTTCAAAGACGCTTTCAATCAAATACATTGAGAATTTTAGACAAAAAAAATAATGTTACAAAAACTGTTTGCACTGGAGCCGTGATTATGAGATTTGATCCAGAGCAACAAGTAATTATTCATATTTTTAATCTAATTATATGTTACAATTTTATTTTTTTAACAAAAGTAAGAAAGTAAATTACATTAAAATAAAATAATGTCAGTGTAATTAATTCTTTCCTTATTAATCTATTTTCCTTGAAAAAGCTTTTACAAAAAATTCAATAAATAAATAAATAAATGAAGAAGGATAAAAAAAAGATATCCTTACAATCAAAGCCATTGAACATTATTTCGGAATTTATTTTTTACCTGAAAATTTATTTGATAAAAAAAACCTAAATAAAAAACCATATATAACCCCAAACTAACTTAAAAAATAAAAAATCAAACCCAAAATCTATTTTTTTTCCAAAAAACTTAGAAGGGATAAAAAAAAAACCCCACACTGAAACTCGTCTCATCCCATCACACCCACTAACACCAAGATAAATATATATATTGACAAAAAGTGGGCAATCAACAATTTCCTCTCCCCTGTTTAGCGTCGAATATAGCTTTTATCTATTAAACTCAACAACTATAAAACATTACCAAAATAAACTTTAGAATAAAAAACTAAAATACTAGAACTAAAAGGGCCAAAACAGAAGTCAACATAGAATATATGGATAGCACTTTTTCAAGCAAGTTTTAGAAAAGACCCGCTATTGTTGTTTCTGATTTTCAATTTGACCATTTTTCTTTTAATTATATATTTATGCCTCCATTCAAGCCCAGTAATCTTATAAAAAATTTTATTACTCAAAAATCTGCAAATAGATGACATTCAACTCAAAATCACCATAATAAGCACATGCAATGATACCTAAGGAAAAAAATAGTCTGATGACAAACGAAAAATAAAAAACCATCGTAATCCCCAATAAACACTAAAAGCGTGTATAGTGCAACCATATACAGAAAAACCATCAAGCCTTACAGTTTATTTTGTAATTTGTAATGATAATTCACAGTGCCATACTCAAGAAGCTGGTTGCGAACGTAGTCAAAACATCATCTTTAAGCTATAAATGCATGAACGAGCATCAGAATATCAGAAAGCTTGAAAAACATGCTCACAAATCTAAAAGAACGTAAAGTTTAATTTTTTTTATCAGTAGTCTCATAAAATGACTTTTCACTTGGATTCTGATCTTGAGGTTGAGTTTGAATGTGGAATTATTCCTTGAATCACCCACTACAAAATGTTAAAAGTTCAAAACAGAACACAAATGTCAATTTAGGTGATGCTTACACGGACTATTTAATCTTTTTTCAAATAATTGTTCCACGGGGGTCAGCATCAAAATGGACTTGCAACCCAGAAGCTTTAGTTAAAGCTAAATATACACCACAAGATAGCTTAGCCGCTATTAGTAAAAGAATCAATCATTTAAGCCTTGACTTATCTGACCAAGAATTATAATGAATAATCCTCATTTAAA